ATACCATAACTGTCAACAAAGGGGTGGAGTCAAATTAAAGACGACGATTTCTTCAGTGTTGTTGGTTTCTGCATGTCTAACTAATGTCTTAAGGTCGTCTTTAAAGTGGTCTGCCTGAAGTAGTCGAATTATGTCGGTTTCTGCTTGGTGAAGATTGTCAGCTGTCTTTTGGTACTTATTTTCTCTAGCTTGTTGATAATAAAATTGTCCGCTATCTTCGTAGACGTCTCTTAGATTGTAACAGAAAAGGCTTGGTTTGTGGATCTTAAGTTTATTGTCGCTGTTATCAGACTTATTCCAGAATTCATCTGTGTTGGATAAGAATTCAAGACCAGTCAGCCAAATGGAGTTATCCAGATCCTTTGGTTTAATCACTCTACTGGCGATATCAGCTGGGTTAGATTTGGTCAATATATGATGCCATTGATTAACATCTGTGTGTTCAAGTATGTACTGGATACGATAAGCATCAAACGTTTTGAATCTTCTAACCTCATTGTGGATGTATCCCAGTACACACGTGCTGTCAGTCCAGAAATGTAGAACAAGGTCCGGAATTCGCAATTCTCTTGTTAGTAGATTGGCTACCTTGACCATGGTTACGGCGCTGGTTAGTTCCAATCTCGGAATTGTGATCGCTTTCAGCGGTACCACTCGACTTATCCCCATCACAAGTGCTATACTAATATTATCGAGTATGTCCTTCTGTATGAGGTAAGCAGCCACACCATATCCTAAGGTACTGGCATCAGAAAATAAATGGAGCTCACTTGATCTAAAGCCTTCAAAGGGAGATGGTTTAAAGCATCTTGGTACTTGCAGTTCTTCTAAGTCTTGAAGTCCAGTTTGACACTGTTGCCAAGTCTTTGACAGATCCGCAGGAAGGGGGTCGTCCCAAGAGAGTCGTGATCTACAGGCTTCCTGAAGGATGGCTCTACCTGGTAGCATAACTGGGGCAATTATCCCAAGAGGGTTGAACACTGAACTCGGCACAGATAAGCAGCCTCGTCGCGTCAAGGGTTGATCTGGTAAGTCGACTTGGTACTTTAAAACATCCTCGTTGGTATCCCAAATCATTCCTAATGTCCGTTGATTTGGTAGGTGGTCCATTTCGAAGTCGAAAGTCTCGCTAACCTCGGCTGTTCGTTTATCGGGTGGAAGAGATTGCAGAAAGTCTTTGGAATTTGAGGCAAATTTACTCAGGATGAATCCACCTTCAGCGCAAATATGCATGGCTCCCCAAGCGAGATTAATGATAAATGGCCTCATACAGTCTGTCAACGGATGCAGTTCCAACATCCATGTAGAAATTGTTGAGGACAAAATATTGGGTCTCTGTCGAGTAATTCTCTTCGTTATCAATAGCTGTTTGATGTAAAAGCTCTAATACAACAGGCTGGACTAGAAATGGCTCCAAACAGATGGTAGCAGATTCTGTATTCAGTCGGTGTTGTTAACATATTTCCGTCTTTCCACCACAGGATTCTGACGTAGTTGCGATGCTCCGGCGTGATTCTCACCATCATAAACATCGAGTTAATGTCGCAGGTGAAGGCGATAATTCCTTTCCGCATTCGGCATAGAACTCCGGCTAGGTTTGACAATAAGTCTGGACCTTGGAAGAGTTCGTCATTCAGAGAGGTGCCTTTATACTTGAGACTGGCATTGAATACTACTCTGAGTGTTCCTTTACGTTTATGTCGTAAACCGTGATGTGTTAAATAATATGCATCAGGTGAATTAAGCTCATGGTCTGGTACTACCTCAATATGTCCACCAGTAATCATTTTTTCCATAAAGGCTGTATACTCGTCTCTTAAGTTTGAGTTTCTTTCGAATTTTCTTTTAAGGCAAAATAATGAAGATTCAGCGATACTTCTATTATTTAATCAATCTGATTAAAACACAGATCTAATTTCATTTCGTTTTTATAGTTCAAAAAATCGTTTTACTTGTCTTTACTACACTTGGATCTGGAAGAGTTGTTATTTAACTTGTGTTGTGCTTGAAATGAGGGATCAGCCAATCAAATGGTCTGTCGAATCGAGTGTTTGACCTTTTTTGCGTGGAACTGTGGGTAGACATTCGCATGATAGAAATCAAAATAAAGCAAAAGTAGATAAAAAAAACATGACAGTCGCTAATTGATTAATAAAATGAATGATGTTATAGGGTCAAATGTCGCTAGCTTGATGCCCGGCGTCATAGAACGTGAACTCCCACTATAACTTGTTAGATCTACATGTAGTGTAGGCCATGGAAAGTATAAAAAACGAAATGAAATATAGATCTGTATTTTAATTAGATTGTTATTTAATAAAGTCGGAATGTCGCGTGAAAATGGCAAATCCATTTGATAGTGTCGGTCTGTATATTGTAGACTTTTGTTGATTATGTCGTTAAATTTCACATCCTCTTTGGATAAGGGCTTGTCGTCACGTTGATTCTCTACAAAGTCTTGTTCAGATAGATGTAGTATGTCCTTTGGTGATATAATTTTCGCATACTCATTTTCAGCACTAATCAAAGAAGATTCTTCTGTATTGTCATTTGATGTGCTTCGAACACTGATAAAGTTACATCGATGATTAGTCGGTCTGTCTGCATAGAGTACTGACCATCCTAAATCATTAGGTGTGATGACTTCTTGAGGTGATACAACTAGGGGCACGTTTCGTCCTATCATAACAGCAATCTTTAATAATAATGAATATTTATATTGCGCGCATTCCATCCAAACAGTATGCTCATGGCATCGAATATGATAGGCTTCAAAGGCGGTAAGGTTGTTCTAGCCATAATCTGGTCTAATGATTTCATATCACGGGATAAATCAGGTTGTTGGCTTATCATACCAGGTGATGAAATAAGTTCAACATCATTCTTCACTCTTTGGGGAGTGTACGTTTCAGTAGTAGGTACTTGGGGTGTCTTTGGTGTGGAACCTATCAAAACTTCTGAAATATCTTCCCGTTGTATATTTTGAATCATTTCTGCATCCTCCTTGAGTTTTGACAATTCTTTCTCTAGTTCAAAACGTTTCATATATTGTTCCTGTTGTAAATCAAATAGTTTTTCAGCCCTTTCTCAGATTTTCTATTTGGTTTTCTTGAGCCCTTTGAACTTATGCTGGTATTGAAGGAGTGTCTATCTGATTCTTCGGCTCTTAAAATTTCATATCTTATTTGCATATATCTTTTAAATTCAACTATCTTTTTAATGGCTTCATCAAAGGCAGACTGTACCCCTTTCGAGGAATATCTTCACCTTCCTGTATAAGGGAATCTACTTAATTAAATGCTTCAGTTAATTCATCTGAACGTACAACAGTCTCGATCAAAATAGTTCTCAAGTCTGTTGTTGTAGGTGTTGAAATCTCAATATTGTCGTTGGTGTCTTCTGTCGTTGACATGACTATGTATGAATGATGTCTGTGGTCAGGCGAATTTGCCATAAATGTTGTGTAGGCCTATTCTTTTTTTAATTAATTCTCCAAGTCGTTGAAGGCTTGAAACTTTGTCTAAAACTGAGAGTGTCGATTTTATTTCTCGTGTCGTGTCGGTATGAAGTTTTCAACAAACGCACTGGGTTTGGGTTAGTGATTTTAGACAGTTGGACTTCATAGTCCTCAAAAAATCTCTTCTCAAGCGTGTCGCGTCGATTGTCAACATGACGTCAGCCCGAGTCACGTGATCAACTAATCATAAAGTGATCCACGGTTTAAAGCGACAGTCACAGTTTTTTTCCATATAGATAACACCAAAGTTATCTCTGCTTACCGTAAGCAGAAAATGTTCATCTTCGAAACTCCATCAAGGCATTGTGTTCCAAAGTCTCGGCCAATCAAATTGCTTATCGCTCTGCTTACCCTGAGCAGAAAATGCTCATTATCAAACTTAGTCAAGGTATTGATGTAATGAAACTATACACCAAGTTTCATTACTCCCACTTAATTAGAACTAAAGTTATCGTGTCCCAAAGCATCAACCAATCAAATTGCTTATCTCCGCTTACCCTAAGCGGAAAATGCTCATCTTCGAACTCCATCAAGGTATTGACCTAATAAACACCTACACCAAGTTTGAACATTCTAGCTCAATTAGAAAGAGAGTTATTGTGTCCCAAAAAGTGTGACAGACAGACGGACGCACGGACGGACAGACAGATTAGTCACCTGCCTTCTTCGAAAGGCGGGGGACAATTAAAGTTATCATGTTCGGAAGCATCACAAATCAAACAGCTTATCTCTACTTGTCCTAAGCAGAAATGATTATCAAACTAACTCAAGGTATTTATGTAATGCAATATAAATATTTTGTTGATAACGGAAGAGATGTCATCGTATCGAGTCTTCGATTACTGTAGGTTTTTTTATGACATATGTAACAAATGGTAACGAATGTATAAATGGAACTGATATTGCTTGATTTATTGGTTTATTCTGCGTCCTTTTTACAACACGTGTAATGTTTAGGGAAGTGACGTCAGTTCGTACATCAATTCAAGAGTTAACGTACGTAACACCGGCGAAACCCGTCATCACTGCATTGCAGTCCTAGTTAGAATTAAAGTTATAATGTCCCGAAGCATCACAAATCAAACTGCTTATCTCTACTTGTCCTAAGCAGAAATGATTATCGAACTAACTCAAGGAATTTATGTAATGAAACTATACACCAAAATAATCATTATCTAACTTAACTAAGGTAATTATATAATGAAACTATAAACATAAACCAAGATTCACCTCTGTCCTTTAATTAAAATCCGAATTAGAAACAGACTTATTTTGTTCCAAAGATTGTGAATGTGAGATAGGACAGTTTCTTGGCCTACACATAAAATGCTCATTATGAAGGCATTCACTCGGTCAATGCATTCACCTAATAAACATTCTACCTCAATTAGAAGCAGAGTTATTGTGTTCCCAAAAGAGTATGACCCCATTTTAATAGTCCCCTGCTTTCTTCCCCTAGTTTAGAAATGTTGTTTATACTAACCTGAGATAAGTGTAAAAGTAAGACAAAAACTAGTTGCTATAGAGATTTCTCTTTCTCCTGGAGCTGTACTGATATCCACTTGGAATCGAACATTGCGAGAGAACATGGAAGAACTTCCACCACGTCTATATTCAGCTCGGAACGTCATGGTGGATATAACACTATGACTGAGATCTGATGTCTGAAGTAAAAAATTTAAATAAAACAAAACAGTTTAACATCAAGTCATCATCTACAATGCTATCAATAGCTATAGTGTACTCCACTTAAGTTATATGTGTAATAGATGAGGTAAGGCATGGCTATTCTTTTTTGGGGGGGAGCATCCAATATTATTTCTTATTGGTAACAATTTCCACTGCACTTTTGTATTGCTGCGCAAACCCTTGTCATTATGTCTATTTAGTTCTTTCTGTTTAACTAGGACAGTGCGACAACTAAAGTAAGGATCCGATGAGAGCTATTTTTTTTTTTTCAAGGCGAGTTTTGAAGACGGGTGTTTTCATGGCTGAAAGTACCCGAAGAACACAAATAAGAACAGTTTTTGGCCGCAAATCGAGTCTTTCGGTTGGTGCAGAACCATTTTTTAACAATAAAACCATTAGTAAGTCGATAAATACTGATATTTGAGAGTAACAATGTATTTTTAATGTTGACGTTTTTCTGGGTTATATGGCCCTTTCACGAACTTTGAAGAGTTTGAACAAGATCAGATTGAGTATAATGTTACAAAATCACATTTAGTATATCCATTTTTATTGAAATCCACGAATACATCAGTTTCATTAGTGAAAGGACTCGAACAATGTGAAAATGGGCCTTTTTGGCCAAAAATGTAAACTTTCAGTTGGTGCAGAGCCATTTTTCAAAATGGCTGCCAAGCTGCCCCAAAATATCATTTTTCACAGTAAAACCATTAATAATGTGATAAATACTGATATTTGAGAGTACCCATGTATTACAAACATACAGGAATTGACCCCTGACCTTTCCGAAATTAAAATTATTTTTTGTGTGGCACACCCATTTGGTCTGTGTATTCATCATTTTTTTGCATAGAATTCCAAGAATTAGTTCATCGATATCATCCACAAGTTAAGCTTTTGGTTTGACAGCCATCTTCACATACTGCTTCAGTTCATCCAGTTAAATGTCTTGAATTGATGTTTTCCATTAACCAGTTTTACTCTCCATTTAGGGTTAGGGTTAGAGGGTTAGAAGAGTTAGGGTCACAGTCAGTCTGAGAAAAGAAATTTCAGATAAAAGCTGATTCTCATTCAGTCAATCTATCCAGTCTATTGTAAAGGGTGTTACTGGACCCCCGTAATTCTTGCACTTTTCCAGAGTCTGGAGAATTCTTGAAGACTTCTTTTTTTGTTCTTCCTTTTGCAGCATCACAAGGTGCTTCATCGCCTTCACCTTCTCAAATGAAATCGTCTTCGCTTCTGCTACTTTTCTGAATGCCTGTCCCATTTCCACATTATTTTGCATTCTATGTCAAGCTTGCTGAGGACATTTTTGCTGACAAGTAATCCATTGGATGATACACTGTCTTACCACCAATTCATGGTTCCTAGTGTATTCATGATGAAATGACTCTCAAGTTTGACAATCAGACTTATTAACTGCTTCATGGTAGTAATCCAGGAGAATGCTGCCCCAGTTGAGAATAGCAAATGTGGTATAGTTACAACCAGGGCAGACAGATCCTGGACCAACACATGAAGAAGCAGACAACATCATTGTTCAGCAGGTGATGATGTGTGCCAGAGTGATCACCAAACTGACACAACCATAATATTAGAAGACACCGATGTCTTCGTTCTTCCTGTGCATTATAACTACACAGTAAATATGAAGAATTGCGTAACAATGGAATCACCAATCAAGGAAAGATTAACTACTGGCATTGGTAAAACTATGCAGAAACATGTGTCCATTGTCACTGGACGTGATTCGGTTGCAACTGTATGGCTCGGTGAATGACACTAAATTGACAACATTACAACCAGTCATGGCGCTTCATCGCCTTCACCTTCTCAAATAAAATCGTCTTCGCTTTCATTTAGCCAAAATATTAGTTTTTATCATTTCACCACTAACATGTTTGTTCAGAATGCTTTTCCCAGTCTCATGTACAGGTTTTCATGGTCTGCTTATCTAATTATGATATTGAAAATGATCCGTGACAATCCAACATGGCAAAAATCCAATCTGGCAACAAAAATGGTGTCGCAAATATGTATTTTTCGCTTTTCAAACCAACATAGTGTTGTAATATGTCGACTACTATGTATTCAAGCATATCTTACTCGATATACAGACGCATTTGGTTGGCCTCCTCTGTCATATCACTTTTCAAAAGTTCATCAACATCTGATTCCTTTGTGAACGGACAACCCGTTTTTTTTTTCAGTTTAATCAAATGATTGTTTACCTTTAGTCAGGGAATAAGTTTGCTATTTCCTTGACAGCTAGACTCTGTTGCTGCAAAAGCTTCTGTTTCTCATCCCAGACTTTCATTACAGCAGGAATTTCATACCTAGCGATATTACTATATCCTCAGAAGGTATCAGAAGATTGGGATTCGATCAAGTCCTGGTATTTGGCTTTTACTTGCATAGTGGATGCACATTTCAAATTTTTGGCGCCTCGTTACTTGAGTTCATAGTTTATGAAACCGACTGTCCATTCCAAATCTAGATTGTGTATTGGAGCACCTTCTAGTTTTTCTGAATCCATTCCTGACAGAGCAATATCTGATTCAAACAGCCTGCATTTAGCTTTAATTCTCAAGAACGTTTCGATCAAACAAAGTAGAGCCAAGATACATGCGAGTCACTTAGCGAAGTAATTGAAGGTACATTCTCATGGCAGTTTGGAGCAGAACAGTAGGACGTTAAACCCCATTTCATTTCATTTCACATTCTCAGGGGTGATCAAGGTATTTGGATTTGCATCTTGATCCCAAGTGAAAGCCAAATCCCAGGATAGCAACTTATTACGTGACAAAAGGCGAAACAATCATTTTATTAAACTGAAAAAAGATAGGTTGTCAGGAAACGAAATATACACCCACAGAAGCTGAATCGTCTGTGCGATCGACAAGGGTTATTGCATATTTATTCTCTTGTGGGTAATGGGGGCATTTACAAGATAATTTCATACAGATCAGATTATAATTTTTAAATAATGTATATAAATTTCATACAGATCGGATGATAACTTTTGTCATTCGAACGTTCACAAGATTCACAAAGTAAAACAATGGTCATAACTCTAGAAATAATTGACGGAAATTGCTGAAATTCAATAGACTTCCGTTTCACAAATTTAAATGAAACATACATGGTAACATGCATAGTGTGTAGAACTGAGCTCTGAGTATTGACTAACTGGCCTCTGCGTTAGAATATCCTTCAAAAGAATTGAAAAGATTAACTGTGGTTACTATTCATGGAAACTCGTGAGAAATATACGTGTTGTCAGTAGTCGCTTAAACCTGTCAGTACTTGCACCTTACGTCAGTATTCCTATAAATGGTCAGTAATAATCATAAGTTGAGTATTTAAGTTAATTGGTTAGTATTCCTTACTTCCACTTCTGTCAGAATGCAAAAATAATGTGAGTAATTAAACAAACGTGAGTTAATCCGAACATATCACTAGTCAGGCGCGTGTGGGAGAAATTGGAAAAAGCGTCACTAATTAAGAAAGCATCAGTATTTGGCTACCGCTCACTACCTGAGTGAAACCACCAGTTATCTTTGATGTACGTCAATAAGTGGAACCGACACCAGTAGAGCGTGAGTATTGTTATTTTAAGTGATTATAAGTATTCTGAATAAATTAATTATTATTTATTAATATTGACTAACTGGCCTCTGCGTTAGAATATCCTTCAAAAGAATTGAAAAGATTAATTGTGGTTACTATTCATGGAAACTCGTGAGAAATATACGTGTTGTCAGTAGTCGCTTAAACCTGTCAGTACTTGCACCTTACGTCAGTATTCCTATAAATGGTCAGTAATAATCATAAGTTGAGTATTTAAGTTAATTGGTTAGTATTCCTTACTTCCACTTGTGTCAGAATGCAAAAATAATGTGAGTAATTAAACAAACGTGAGTTAATCCAAACATATCACTAGTCAGGCGCGTGTGGGAGAAATTGGAAAAAGCGTCACTAATTAAGAAAGCATCAGTATTTGGCTACCGCTCACTATCTGAGTGAAACCACCAGTTATCTTTGATGTACGTCAATAAGTGGAACCGACACCAGTAGAGCGTGAGTATTGTTATTTTAAGTGATTATAAGTATTCTGAATAAATTAATTATTATTTATTAATATTCTCGAATCAGATGAAATTTTTTAAACAATAATGGATGGCAGTGACCAATAGGACTATTTGTCGGCGATTTCGATTACCGCCGTAGTTTGCAAGAGAAACTGAAGATGGTCAGATAGATCGATCTATTATAAATACCTTCATTTTTAAATATGAATTTAAATTCTCCGTGGCAAGGTTTGATTCTTCACACTATTTGTACCCGTTCCCGTTCTTTCAACATTTTCCCCAGGAAGACTACTGCGCAATGTGTATTGTTATTTAATTCACAATTTATATTTATTCTCGTTACATGCGGATTGGCACATGTTTTGGGGCAGGCGGCAGTTTGATATCTGTTCGCAAATTTTATTGAAACAAATAATATGATAGTGGAAAACAGAAATAATGAATTTCATACATTATACTGAAAAATTGTGTAAATATCTATTTACATTTGAGAAATAATAACTATTAAACAATATATATAACGATGAAAATAGTAATAACATATAATAAGGCACGATATACAATGTTAAAATACAATATGATTCTATGTTACAGAAAAAGATAGGTTGCCAGGCAACGAAACATACGCCCACAGCAGCTAAATTGTCCGGGCTGTCAACAAGTGTTGTCGCATATTTTTACTTTTTCCTTTATCGGTAATGAAACATTTATAATAAACTAAAATCTGATTAAGAGTAACAACTCATGAAGTAATTATCAGAAAACCATTAGAATTTGTTTGGTTTTTATAAAATTCTGCCCCACGCTTAGTATACAAAACTTTTAATATCATGGATTTAGCTGTTCATGACCTTAAACACTGTGTATAAATTTAAAGTCAATCG